CCCCACCCCGGCGCCCGCCCCCCGCACCACCGCCAGCAGCAGCACCAGCAGCAGCAGCAGCAGCAGCAGCAGCAGTACTTCACAGCTCCAGTTCTGGAAACGTCAGCTCTTCATATAAACATCCAGACTTTTAGATGTAACTTCTACAAAACTGGACAGGAACATGGTAACAGAGTGTGTAACCCAGAACAACCGTTAACCTAGAACTGTGGTCTCTCTCCTACCGCGGTCATTGTGACACTGCACGCAACCAAATGTGACCTCTGCTTTTAACGTCTTTAGTTTTTAAATTGCAGCTACATCCTGCTAATAGGACTTCATGAATTTAGTTGTTCATTTAAAAAGTTGCAGTCCTTTATTTTTAGTGTTCTCTTATTTTCACAATATCCTGCCACTTCTATTTATATATATATAATGTATATATTAACGTGTACATTTAAAAGAAGTATTTGGTACAAATGACTGCAGGTATGACAATATTTATAATCATATATTGACACTTGGTGACCAATAAAATAATTTCAAAGTATGAAAAAAAAAAAAAACAAAAAAAAACAATTCCTCCTGACGCAAGAGTAATACAATACTGCATCTGAGATATTAATAAATGTAATACAATTCTGTATTTCCAGACTGGCTGAAACTGGAGGCATGACATAGACATTATTAAATAAGAAAAAATGTTATTATGATTATGATTATTGTTAATAATAAAAACAGATTCTGTCAACAATAACCACAGAGTAAATATCCATAGGTAAACAGACAGAATTCAAATTTTTTTCAACATTCTTTTCAGTCTATGCAGCCACTTTTCTTTCTAGCATATTTTGACTTTATCACACTGCTTTGAACTGCTCTTTCCAATTTCTTCCACTTTATCAAACTTGCTCAACAAGTGGTCTCTGTTGGTATAACCACTTTCCCACTGTCACTGAGGGCCTCAGTGTTTGGACAGTTATCCAAATATGCCCTAAGCTCTGCTTTGCACCACTGTGTCCATCTTGTCCACTGACTGTTGTCACTCTGCACATCAAAGATGCCTAGTTTTGTAAGTCACAGGCCTCACAGTGACACACACACATATATACCCATATATATATGTAACAGAGGTTAATAGTTTTGTAGTTATAATTCCACGACATCGTTTTATTTGTTCTACCTGATGGAATGGGTTGATCCTCCCTGGGCGGAAACTTGAAGCGTATATTTTTGATATAAAAAGTCAGTCACACCCAACCTGTCCCTCTTTCTTCTGACTTTGTGCGAGAGGTTAGTGTTTTTCTGTTGCTCCTTGTTTTCAACATTTGATTTAATTCTGTAAAATATATTTATTTTATGTGTACTTTGTAGGGGCTCGGGTGGACCAGAAGGAAAATGTATTTTGTTCTATGTAAATTCCGTCAGATCAATAAAGGCGTTGGTGGCAGCAGAACGACGGCTTTCTTAAAACACAACTCAGAAGCTGCACCGGTTACATATATTTACCGTAAAATACAGCGATTTAAAGAAACTTCCGCGGAACAGATAAAAAAAATCCGCGATGTACCGAGGGAGTGGCAGGAGAGCCGTGATATAGAGAGGGAACACTGTGTTCGCAGGGTTTATCTTTCACCAAACTCACTGTTCATTAAAAACTGAACTGTTGTCAGTTTGAGTAGAAGATTCTTTTAGAAAATCTATAATTTAGTCCAACAAACCCGGTGTAGTGTTAGCTCCGTCACAGTCATGACACCACCTACAACAAGAGTATTACAGTATCAATGTCTACGGTGGAGGTACGACATTAACGACAGAGACCGGCAGAGTGGAGCTGTCCTTTCAGCACCACCATCGTCTTCACACTGTTCACTCAGACATAATGAGCGCGCGCTCACATGCACTCTTCGTTCACACATTTCCAAGACAGAACCGTTCTCTACAAACAGTTTTCTTTGCTCTGTTAAAGACCTGAGCCGTGACTCAGGGCGTTCACAGCTGGTACTGGTACTGGTACTGGTACTGGTACTTACCATCAACCGCCATGATGTTCTGTTCTGGCTGCAACCAACACGGCTGCTGAAGAAGGGCAGGAGGGAGGGAGGGAGAGAGGGAGATTCTCATGGTGGTACGATCCAAGAAAGGGCTGAGCAGAGTGAACTGGAGGAGAGGAGGGAAGGGAGGAGGAGGAGGAGGAGGAGAGGAGAGAGAAAATGTGCTCAGACCAAACAGAAATGGGCTGAGGAAAAAACCAGTGGAAACCACTTCGGGGAAAAGAGCATTTGAAAGATTGATGTTTTGATTGTGTTGTGTCTAAAGTCAGTTCAGTTGAAGACAAATATGGATCAGATCTACTGTTGGATTTAATAAAGGTGATAAAGATGATGATTTACTGGGGAAGACATTTATCTGCAAATTACTAGAAGTTCATGTGAAAATTTATATATAACTATATACATAATTTATGTGTGTACATTTGTGCTATATATTGATAGACATAAAATAATTAGTACTTTTTAAAATCTTTCTTAGTTTAATCAGTGCTCTGTGAAATTAGGGCAGTTTAGGGTTAAAGAGTATTATAGGTATATATATATATAGTATATAGTATAGTATAGTATATATATATATAGTATATAGTATATAGTATAGTATATATATATATAGTATATAGTATATAGTATAGTATATATATATATAGTATATAGTATTATACAGTTTGTTCTTACCTTCAATACAGCTGTGGTCAGGGCTGTTCCATCAATCAAACTGTAAAACCACTAAGATAAAATTCTTCTTATATAAATATACGGTCAATATAGAGTTGATGTTTTATTCCAACTGTAGGTGAACTCTGTCAGAACCGACATGGACACAGACAGAGGAACAACTCCACCGACAGGGGGCCTCAAAGTTCAGTATTATTAGAGTGGATCGTTCAGTTACAGCACGGCTCTAGTGTTCTAAAGAGAACGGTTCTTGTTCTAAAGATAATGGTTCTTGTTTTTAAGATAATGGTTT